AGGTTACAGTATATATATCTTTGTCAAAGGGGCCCCTTTCGTGCGTGGTGTGTCAAAGCAGCAGACTAATGAAGATCAGTAGTCTAAATGAAATCATCCTACATGTCTCGTCCGGCCCTAAAGCTGATCTTGGTACAGGTCATCTGAGTAGAGATATGTATTCATTACATTACATATTTACAGTTCCTCTTGTTGTCCTGCTGCTGATGTACTCTTGTTTGTATTTGATTAAATGATATAGGTGACTGAAAGACAGGATGTGTCTCTTTTTCATGTGAATGCCTGTGCTTATGTTCCATGTAGAGATTCAGCTGGGGGTGTTCAGCTCATCAGTTCTCCCCATTGATCAATCTCTCTATTAAAACAAGCTTAGCTTTATCCATTTTCACTATCAGAGAAAATAAGAAAAGTTATCGAATAGAGATGAAGCAAGGTTTTATTCAAACAACAATCACAATTACAAAAGATGATAATGGTCAACCCTTAAGTGAAAAGCACATTGAAGATGATCAGTTTCCATTCCAGCCTTACGTGTAATATAGAATAAATTTGACCTCTAGACAAGTGTTGGGTTCTATTTTTCTCATAATTGGATCTGTATGTGATTGAATAGCTTGGAAGGAATGCATTATGAGAACATAGGTTTGAACTGTACTGATATGGATTGTTCACATAGCAGGCTGTGATTCATGTGGGGAACGTTAGGGGCTAGGATGAGATAAGACTTGTATTTCTCACAGATACGAACACTCTCTCTTTGTTGTCTGTGAAACCGTGTAAACTTTACTCGGCCAACGGATTGGCTGAGTAAGTCTAAACCACACTCAGTCCTTTACTCTGATTGGCCAACAGAAGAGGTGGGAACTATCTGTCAGAGTATTTGAGAAATAACCTGTAAACAATGTGTTAGTTCTCTGAGTGCCCTGCGTGGTATTTCAGTGGACCCGTTATATACGAACCTTCATACTTATCATACATACATTTTGCATATAATAAATTAAGCTTGGATTGAAGATCTCTTGATTCTTATTCCAATACCAGATTTGAATTACGCAATTTCTAACAATTGTGACCTCCGACTGTGATTGGGGGTGGCGGAACTTCGCTGGAATTCACCCAGCCTATTGGACATCACTGTCATCGAAACTGTGTGTTTCACAAGTGCCCGGGCTTCTAAAAAACACTGGTAAGCAGACACCCATTGTTAAATAACTAAAGTTCTGCATATTGGCTTTCATCCAAATTAATTTTGTGAAACACCTGTTGGTGTAAGTGAACCCTATTGTACTATAAATAATGATTACAGTATACTACATCCATTTCATAAAAGGCTATGCAAATGTTTGGATAATTGTGATGGTTAAACCATGGGAGTGCAAACTATGACTAGAGGTTCATAGGTGGCACTTTAAAGCGAATAAACAGTGTGACCTATGGTTAGAGGGTGTGACTCCCATAGGATGTATTTTAAATAAACAGTGTGGACCTATGGTTAGAGGGTGTGACTCCCATAGGATGTATTTTAAATAAACAGTGTGACCTATGGTAGAGGGTGTGACTCCCATAGGATGTATTTTAAATAAACAGTGTGACCTATGGGTTAGAGGGTGTTTGACTCCCATAGGATGTATTTTAAATAAAACAGTGTGACCCTATGGTTAGAGGGTGTGACTCCCATAGGATGTATTTTTAAATAAACAGTGTGACCTATGGTTAGAGGGTGTGACTCCCATAGGATGTATTTTAAATAAATGGTGTGACCTATGGTTAGAGGGTGTGACTCCAATAGGATGTATTTTAAAATAAACAGTGTGACCTATGGTTAGAGGGTGTGACTCCCACAGGAGGTGTTTTAAATAAGTAGTGAAACTATGGTTAGAGCGGTCTGACTCCCATAGAAGATATTCCACACAAGTGGGTGTGACAGTACGGTTTTTTGACTTAAAATCATAGGAAGCATGATAAAAGGTTAGACAGTGTGAGTGTGGGTCGTATGAATGAGAGTGTGAATGCTCAAACCAGTATAGCTTGATAGAAAACCAATTGGGAATCAAAGACGTCTGTGCCTGTCCAAACTGTATAATTTGGGGATAACTGTTGGGTTTGTGGTTGCTTAAACCATATAACCCGTTAAAAACAATTGGGAACATAAAGCTAAAGTGATGAATTGTGTGACTGAACTGAAACGGTTGAGCTGATATGTTTGAACTGTGCCCGTTTGGTGTTAGACATAGCATAATTCTGGTTATAGGTGCTTGGGTTGAGGCTTTTTTTGTTGATTATTTGATATAATGTTTTGATGTTTGACCCTGCAAAATAATGGTTAAACAATTAGACTGAAATAATTTGGTTTATCATTTAAATATAAACATGCACCAACTTTAAATAATTAGGTGGGAATAATTTGATTTAAATAACTAGATGAAAGTACTTAAATAATGACAGAATATTGGAAACACTAACACAGCTCCTCAAAAGAGACTACTCCCAGAGAGAGAGAGAGTTGCGAGGGGAGGGGCTGGAGAGAGCGAAAGTGTGGCTTTTGGAGCCAGGAAAGACTGGAGTTGGCTTGGGAACACCACGGGGTGATTATTGAGAGGTGCATGTGGGTTTTCTGACGATGGATATTCTGAACTTGCTCATCCGAACGTAGACGTACGTAATGGGTGGGAAAGTAGAGAATATTTACATTTGCATTTTTGGTAATTTGGCAGACGCTCTTGTCCAGAGCGACTTGCAGGAGCGATTGGGGTTGAGTGCCTTGCTCGAGGGCACATCGGCCAGATTTTCGCCTGGTCGGCTCGGGGATTGGAACCGGCGACTCTCGGTTGTTGGCGCGGCGCTATTTATCATAAGCTGCCTGCCGCCCCATATGAGTTTAAGGTTGTGGCGTTGTTTGATCATGTGATAAGGTTTAATGGCTAATCGAACCATGACTAATGTTGGTTATGGAAGTAATGTATAGGTAGGGGAGAGCCAATAGGGGGCTCCATTGAACTATT